CTAAAGGGTGAGAATTGGGGAATAGTGGTATTTTCAAAACAATGAAAAGAAATTGGAGAACAGTGAGATTTGGAGAACAGTGGGATGTGCAAAACAGTAGAACATTCCAATCCAGGCCCAGAAAATATATTTCTCTTCCTGCCAGCAAAAATCAAAACAGATTTCACAGAACGTATAAACTTCAATCTCGGCAAAAGACAGTCTCGACTTACAAAACGCTTTTCGCCTTTTGCAAACAATAAGTAAATTATATAGCATACATAGCATGGCAAAAATTTCCGGCAAGATGTAAACAAATTTCCTGGGAAGATGTTTTGCTAAACATTTCCTGGCAGCGGCGCTGCTGGACATTTTCTAGCACTGCTCCAATTACTGGATCATGCATGGCTGGATGGCATGGAGAACAATGGAATTTTCAAAACAACGAAAAGACAACATTCTGATCACTGGATCATGACTGAATGGCATGGTGAACAATGAAATTTTCAAAACAATGAAACATTTTGATCACTGGATCATGACTGAATGGCATGGAGAACAATGAAATTTTCAAAACAATGAAAAGACAATGGAACATTTTGATCACTGGATCATGACTGATTCAAGGACTTTCAGGGATTTTCAAGTTTTGTACGAACCCTGTGTTCTACTAAGTAGTGTTAACAAATAACCCATACTTTGTGACAACTTTATCCCTTATAATCAATAAAACTATTGTTAGGTTAATCGATTATGTAACGGATTGACTGATACAATAATTGATACAATAATTAAATGATTGATTGGAAAACCCCAACCCTTTATGTTAATAGATTACTCCGAATGTGGTGTTAAACCATTTGATGCAAGAGCTCGAATTGTTGGTGGAAAAATAGCAGATGAAGGAAACTGGCCTTGGGCAGTCAGGATATTTGTTGAAGGTAGGTATATCGTCATCTTCCTTCACTATCCTTCTTCATTCACACATCACATTTAATTTCGATTTAGATAAGCACAGGTGTGGTGGAACATTAATCAATCAAGAGTTTGTGTTAACTGCAGCTCATTGTTTTGGAGCGGCCATAACCGATCTACACAAGTAAATATTAGCACCACATTATCATTAATATAACTAATCACTACTAGCATTATCATCACCACTACGATCACCATCGTCAAAAAAATCACCACTACCATAAACACCTTCATTACAACCATCATCACTACCACCATCATCACCACCATCATTACCACCTTCATTACAACCATCATCACTACCACCACCATCACCACCATCATCACCACCATCATCACCACTATCATTACCACCATCATCACTACCACCACCATCATTACCACTATCACTACCACCACCATCATTACCACTATCATAATTACCACCACCATCATTACCACCACCATCATTACCACCACCATCATTACCACCACCATCAGAACACTAACCTAACCATTCCCATTTTTTTCTAGTGTTAACGTGTCACTGCAAGACAGAAATCACAGCTGTCTTGCGCTCCACATTCATCATAACTACAACCCTAGAAACTACAGAAATGACATCGCACTGATTAAAATTCCTAAACTGAAACATTTCACACGAAACCAGCAAGCAATTTGTCTACCACGTGAAATAAGCATGACGGATATCATCAAAGATGGTAACCTAATGTATGCAGTTGGCTGGGGGAGAACATCACCAATCAAACCAGACGAACGTTCTGATGTATCACACTTATCAAATGATCTGAAACAAGTCAAGATACCGTTTAAAGCGAACAAATTCTGTGAAGATAATGTGAAAAAGAAGACTGCCAAAGCAATGGAGTGGTTGAAGGATATTTGGTATTTTAGCAATACCACACAGTTTTGTGCTGGTGACATCACTGGCCAGGAAGATACATGCCATGGTGATAGTGGTGGTCCAGCGATGGTATTTCATGTACATCCAGTAAGCGGGAAACGGCGTTGGTTTCAAGTTGGTATTGTAAGCTGGGGTTATGGTTGCGCACAGAAGGGTGAGGCTGGTTACTACACTAAAGTCTCTGCGTATGTTGACTGGATCAGCCAGATAGCAAAACTATCCAGCACAAACAGAACGCATTCGCTCGATCTTAAAAATAAAGGAGGGATGAATCCTAAATACAAAGGTGGGCCGCTGAATCTTAAATATAAAGGCGGGATGAATCTCAAATACAAAGGTGGGCCGCTGAATCTTAAATATAAAGAAGGGCTGGATTTGATCTTTGTGCTGAGAACATCAAGTAGTGTCACTGAAGAGAATTTTAAAATAGCGAAGGAGTTTATGAAAAAAGTTGTTGAAATATTTGGCGTTGATGAAAAGTGAGATGAAGTCAATACGTTTACAAAATTAGGATTGTATTCTTGGGTTTCATGACGGGGGG